AGAATAAAAAAAAATCCCAATTTGATGACGATTTAGTGTTTAAATAAGAAGTTATATTATGAGTCATAATTTAAAAAAATTAAAAAATAAAATTTAAAGAAAAATTAAAAAACCCTAAGTAGAGTCTATAAATTAGAGAGTAAAGGTTGAAGAAAGACTCTCAAAATTTTTTTCATAAAAAAGAAGATAAGCCAATTAATAAATAGAGCATTAGGTATAGACTTTCATTTTTAGCTACTGTGTTTAACTTGAATTTCAATAAATTGTTTTTCAGTATTCTTTCTCTCTATTTTTAAAGGCGCTTTTTTTTAAAAAATATGTACCATGTGAGGTTTTCAGAATCTTTGTAGGTATCTAAATTTATTGATAAACAGTATGAGACTATAGTAGTCTCCGTAGGGATACCAATATGGTTGTGCAAGTTTTCCTTTTGAAATAAAAAGAAAGAAAAAAATTTTGGGCACATGTTTATAAATGAATAATAAAAAAAATTTTTAAAAAATATGTATATACATAATCTTAAAATATTTTTCAAAGCTGTGTGAGGTTTTTAGAACCTCTGCAAGCTCGAATGATTATTCTCTGTGTGAGGTTATGAAAATCTCCGCAGGAAGAGTAATCCAAAATTTCTTTCAAAACAATATTTTCTAAATAAAAATACAAAAATTATTTTCATGTATTAAAAAATATCAATCCACAAAAGAACACCTTTATTAATTGAATAAATATTTTCTAAAAAATGACAAACAAGTGACAAGCATTTTTATCTCTGAACTACGTGGGTTTTGATCCCTCTAAAAGGTACGTAGGTCCTAGGTTTTTATCCTAGATCAAGTCCACCTTTGCAAACAATTTATTTTTTCCTTTTTGTAAATAAGAAGTTTTTTTTTGTTTCTATCTTTATTTTTTTAGGGTAATTAAAACATAATAAAAATGTCACATTAATTTTGAGTAGTTGACTCAGGTAACTGTTCTCTTCAATTTAAAGCTAAAAAAATTTATAACGAAACAATTTCATACTTGTTACCTTTTATATTTTTTTGGTTAGATATTACCATTTATACTAAACTTATAATAAATCATCGAAATAAGAAATAAACATTCAAATCATGCATCTTCCTTATCAGCCCAATTTTTTTTTTTGAATGTATCTAAATTGAACATACTGAATACTAGGCTAATAAAGAAATCCTGGACTTACTAAATTAACCTATAGTTTTTATTCGGTGTTTGGGCTAACCAAAATTTAGTAACCTAAAATACTGAAGTCCACCATCCTATCAAACGTATTGGGCCACGCCTCAACATACCCAATTTAAACTACATAAGGATGTATCTTTAACACCTCGATGACCCTGTTGAATAACTTGACAAATTTTAAAGCAAATATTAACATAAAGCATAACTAAGATGTTTACACGCAGCATGGCAATAATTTGAAAACATAGACATCATTCCAAACCCAACTATCAATAAAAACCATTTACTATGAGATAATTGTATACGACAATAAAGACAAGCAAAAAAATAAATTTGAATATCCCTATGACTAATTTTGGTTACCAACATAGCCAAGGAAAGACATACCTGACACTAAATCATAATGCTGAGAACCATTAACACTCTCTGGTCTAAATGTATTATGAGAGCGTCCCATTTCAGAGAATTGATGCATTAATTCTTCCGAAGAAAAAAATGAACTCCTCTTGCTACTTCTAGCAGCACCTTTAACTTAAAAAAGTTGTGTATTAAGCAAATGAACCATGAAACATAATCAATGGTATATCAGAATAAAATTAAGTCAGTAATAATAGTTAACATGGACCGGTATACACAATTAAACTGAATATATGAACATCGATTATGGGAACATCACAAAAGACTAATTATAGACAAGATTAATACAAAGATAAATTTGAAATTAATTGAAGAAACAACAGACAAGATAAAAGAACCTCAACAAACCAATTACCTGTAATCAAAATAATATTCCAGAACACCACACATGTAAGATGTTATGCAGTATAAAATAAAAGCTGGAACAAAGCTACCCAGATTTAATATAGCTGAATAGGAAGGAGTTAATAATACAATATGAAATAAAACCTGGAACAGAGCTCCCCAGATTTAATGTAGCTGAACAGGAAGGTGTTAATGTTTGAGGCCGACTATTTGTACAAAGCATTGTGCTGTCACAATCAGACATTGTTAACTGACTTGGGAACTTATCATTCTTGACACATGATAACCTCTTCCGAGCCTTCTTACCACTTGTGCCGTTCGATTGTATATCACCTATACACAAATATCCCAGATTTACAAAACTCATACAATAAATGATACCCCTCTGTATGGTTCTGTTATAAATAAAACTTGTCATATTACCAGATTTAGATAACTCTTGAAAGCTGAATTCAAGGTTAGAAGCCATATTAGTCATCTCTTGTAAAGCAATAGCTCTTCCTCTTCGTTTGCATCCAAATAATCCATTGTTCGTAACAGTTGATCTAGCATCAGTATTTCTCAAAAGTATCCTATTCTCATCATACAAGTTCTCCTTCCCTTCCATAGATTCTATATTCACAGCATTGAAGTCGTAATTAGCACCCTCATCACCAAATCAGACTATTTTCATATTTCATATAAACTCAGTACTTAAATTGAAAAAAAAAACCAAATGTACATTAAAAACTTGAAAAAAAATAAATCATACCGGGAGTATAAGGAGATTGATTAATTAACTTGTTCAAAGCTAAAACATTGCCCGATGAATTTGTTCTCATGATTGCTGAACCACCTAGAGGTAATGTCAAAATAGCCATCACAAAAAAAAAACTACAACAACAAATCAGTTCTAAGTTAGACACTTACTTATCTCTGGATTAGAAACTGCACATGAAGAATTGGGTATCAAACTCATAGATGAAGATAGGACATAATCAGCAAAATTACTGTCAGAATCAACAGTATCATCCTGGTCCTTGATGACTCTTCTCCTAACCATGACTAAACACAAAGCGAAAACTAAGATCTAATTTGTTGTGACCAATTTACTTTAAAACCAATGATTCTTCAATATATACTTATTGAAAAGTTCAAACCATGAAGCTTACATATGCGTAACTTCTCTCTGCATTGCGTCCTGCAATAAGTATAAGATATTATAATCTTCTTACCACCACATGTGTATATCACAAGTCATCATAGACCCTATCCTTAGACATGACAAGTGCTGCATATGTCAGTTTTGTTCAGCCCTTCTATATATCTGAAAAATAATATATATATATTACACAAAATATATCATATGGACAGTAGCACCCTACTCAGTCATTCACCATTACCAATCCCTTCATAGTTTTCTCTTCTTATGTAATGTTTTCCTTCACATGATACGAAAGATGATAGTAATCTAACAAATAAGCATACTTACCATATATGACAGTAAAAAAAATAGATATGACTATAAAGAATGATTATTCCCATCACTGTATGTGCATGAATGATTGCTGATGTAATCGATGTCTTCCTTATAAAAAACACATAAATTCACCAGCATCTAGAATTATTTAGATACTTGAATTTCAATTAGAATAGTTATATTTGAAAAAAATTACAAAATTAGAGTATGTAAATGGTCATTAACATTACTTCAGTGTCACTACAGGTATCCTTATTTTATCAACAGCTCCCATTAATTATAAAGTAAACCAAGATACTATAGAAAAAAGCTCATTTCGACATTACAAATCTCACTAATATATATAACATTCTGCCAGTGACTAAGCTATGAATATAATTGGATAAAAATTGACATCCTATGATCAAAATTTTGATCGATATTACCAGAAAGACCACCATTAATCTAACATAAATAGCTATAACATCTCTATTGCATAAACCTGACTGACTTGACTCATAATTTGGATAACTATGAAAATTTAAAGCACTACTTATCAAACTATATTAAATTGGATTGGCAAATTTTTTCATGAAATTTATCTAGATAAAACACACACTAAGTTTTCGTAAGTAGCTAAATACCATAATATTACTGCATTTCATAATTTGACATAGTACATGCATAATATGACATGAATTCATCCCCCATTACAATGACAGATAAGTCAAGTAACTTCTACAAACAATGCCACTGAAGGCCAAAATAACTGATGCAAACAACAACTTAGCATAATTGCTGCAGACACGACCATGACAGCAAAATACAGACAAGGAAAGTAATACATAACAAAGGTGATTCCACCTATTCTTGAAAACAAAAGCAACAGGAATAACTTCAAGTCCTCAGTTCTTCTCCTGTTTGATAGCCTTCAAAGGTTTCCAAGCATTCTTCACAGGTGATACGTCGGACTTAATCACATCCTTGGATTTGACAACAGAACTCTTTTTTGCACCAATCTTTCTCTTTCCTTTATATGTTGCTGTTGGATTGATTTGAGATAAAGGGACCTCATCTAGATCAGCATGCTCCTCCTTTCTTCCCTCAGTAATATGTTGCACAGAGTCGGGGATAATATTGGGCTCAGAAACATGTCACAGACTCAAAATCAATACTGGCATTAGTAACACATGGTACTGACTCGGGGACAACACTGCCCTCAGTCAACTCTTCATCAACTATTACATACTGAGAATCCTACATGAAACATTAAAATCACATTTAAAAATCTCTACTCTATGATAAGAATCTAAAAGATTATTATAACCATTTATATACCTTATCCGCAACATATTCACTTGTCTCTCCAACCTTGGCAAAAAAATAATAATAATAATGACATCATAAAAATTTTGAATTACAACATAAATTGATAATAACATATAAAAACACAAAACAAAATAGTTTAATATATATAATCTTACTTTGTTAAATTCATCCATAAGATCCGCAATATGAGTGTAAGAAGATACAGAAATGCTTGAATTTGGGAATTCAGCATTATACTTCTTGAGTTTCAGCTTCAATAGTAGTGTCTTACCAACAAGAATGTCCAGGTCTTCAGGAAAATCATAGTGACGCTCCTTCTGCATAAATGGAGTAACCTAAATATTTAACCCGTTAACTCATTCACATAAAGCATTAGTCATTGAATATTATGATTCAACCTTGATAAGCTCCTCTTCCAATTGTGCAAGAGTTTTACCAACAAATTCTCTAACCAGCTTGTCAAAGAACGCAACAACAACTCTTCCTGACTCATCTTCCACTGTATAATGCACCCTCATCCTAAGCATGAAACAAAAAATTACATAAATTCATGCCAATCGATGTCACACAAAATTATATAACATCAATAGTCAATAATAATTGCAATATCATTACTTCCACTCGAAATACAATGGCCTCTTCCTACACACTGAGCTCAAACATGTCTTCTTCCCAGCCTCTTCCTTTGGCTTACAGCCGCACCTTGTACATGCCTCATATTTCCAATCATGAGTAGTCTCTAGCTTGATAACCTTACACTTAATCAGGAAAAAATCATCCTACACCAATGCAATAAATCACAAAAATGTATTCCTTAGTTATATGAAAAATAAGCAAACAAAAAAATTAACGAATCAAGTATTTATATACCACACTCTGTTTTGGTATATCAGCAATGGGAATTAAAGGGTGACTACTAAGAAGAGTGCTTTCAAAAGGATTGGAAGTTTGAGATGCAACACTTGCAGATATCGTACTGATTGTTGGAGAGGGAAATGTCTTTGCACTGTCATTACCGAAATTCATCAGAACATGACATTAGGAAAACATAAGAAAATTACACATAAACATAAATTAAAAAATACTCATACCTTTCAATAAATTGCCTAACCTCTGGATAATTCATATTAAATGATATCTTAGTTGCATGGAAAGCACTACAAATCTCTACCTTCCCTGCATATTAAAATGACAATTTACCATCTTAATCTTTAGCATCTTGCAAACTACACAAACAAACTATCAAAAATGTCTACAATGATCACCTTTCTCATCAAAACCAATCCTTGCAAGCTGAATGAGAATGACCACTGGGGCGTCCATCTTAGTAAAATCAGTCATGCACACATTTGTTGCACACTCATCATACAAAACACAAGAAACAGAATTTTCCCTAAACATGCGACAATGAAGTTAATATACTGACATAAAAAATGCAAGATCAATGCATAATTATCATTACCCAAAGAAAAAGTGAAGTTAACTCAAATATTTTTTAAGTTTCATACAGGTTATCAGATAAAGTCAAGCGTATCCTATTGTTTGTCTCAGAATTGAAATGGCACTCTTCAAGAGATCCAACGGTGGTGACAAATCCAATAACATCTGTCAATAAATACAATAATTAGATGCTTAAAATTATTTTCTACATACAAATATTATTAAGAAAATTTTAAAAGTACACACCATATCCAATCTAGAATACCCACCAATCAGATAATCAATGTTATTCTGTCGGGTGAGCTCAATAATCTCAGAAATAGGTAAGAAATTGTATGAATATTCAGGGATATCAGCTTCTCTTTCCTTGACATAGGTCCGATAACCCATAGTAATCTTGAATGAATGATTAGTGGGCCTGTACCCCTTAGTGTTTCTAACAACAGAAAAATTAGCAATGAAGTAAACCTTCCCCTCCAAGAGCTTGTCTTCATACAACTTGAAAGCAGTCCTGTTTGTAACAGCCGCTTGGATCCTTGTTCCCTGCATTTTTTAAGTATCCATCCATCAAACATTTATTTAGCATAAGCTTAATATTTCAAAGTAATGGCATATACAAGTTAACATTGTAAATAAAACAAATGAATAACACATTGAATATATGCCAATTTAATTTCATAGCTGTTATAACAAACCTCATGATCGATGAGAAGGAAACAAATACAGAAAATGTCATTGGGTGAGTCCTTTTGATATACGTTCCACCTCCTAATAACACGAACAACAATCTTCCAACGATCGGTAGAATCATCAACAACTCTAAGCATTGATATATTTGAAGAAGACATAGTCATTAACTGTTTGGATTTTCAAGTTACAAGATCTGAAGCTCCACACAGGTAGAAAACATTCGAACACTTGACATCAATTTATAATGATCTATGCATGAACCTATAACTTCTGATAAGAAATGTCACAACCATGCTGACATGACTAAACCCGAACACAATCAATAAAGTAATGAATCATCTGTCTAAGGCAACAAAAGACAGCTACATAAAATAATTCAATTCATTGATTCATTGAGTATTACGAAAAAGTCAACCCACATAAACAGACTATAAAAAGATATATGCATGCCACACAAATCTCTTGCACGTCGCTGCCATTCATGAAAATCAGCAAACCGTAGGAACCATGACATGGTACACTAACTTACTTGCAAAGTTGTACAAAATTAATGAATTCAGTACCTAACACACATTGTGAAATCAATATCCAAAAGTTCTGACATTTATGCATGCTTAGACAATAAGCTTTGCTTATTTTCTCTTTGTATGCAGAAGTGCAGTGAGCATTCACACTGATCCAACGACACGCATAACATGTCAGACTGTAATCATCCATTGTAGCCATGCCTTCACATTGCTCAAAAAAGATAATAATAAGCAACACACTCAAGACAACACAAAATGGCCTATTGCTACACTAATTTACTGATATGTGCCATCCCTGAATCTATCATGACTCTAACAAACTACCAATACTGATTTGAACCATCGCTATATGACCCTCACAAAAATGATTTGACCCATCACTCTATGACAGGTTCAATACTGAACAAAGTAATGGAAACAGAATATGGTATCATATCTTCACATTAATGATTTAGCATCAAGGAGGGGGAAAAAAAGAGGAATGGGAAAAGACAATGGGAAACACGAAGGAGAGAGTAAAAAATAAAGAATAGAAAGAAGATGATTTACCAGGCAGAAGAAGCGAAGGAGTCCACATCTGGTGACAACCTGTGAGAACTTGCTAAGAGCATAACTAAAGCTAAAATGACGAAAAGATGAAACTCGAAGCAAAAAATGAGGGCAACGGAGAAAAGTATACGACTTATCAAGACTACAGAAAGCGTGTTGCAGGGAGGAAGCGTGTGGCAGTCAATTTTGGGATATGTTATAATTAATTTTTTTTTTATTTTTCCAAAAGCCAAAAATTTACAAATTTAAAAAAATCTGAAAATTTTACTATATTATGAAGGTAAGCAAAACTATTTATATTACTACGTCAAAAAATATTTATATTATAATATTGTTATATTTTCAAAGATAAAATTATTATAAACATTAAAATATTTAAATATTGATTTTTTAACCGTATTAAAATTCAAGTACTTTCTGCATCTATTAATTTTTAATTTAAAACTGTTAATATTAATGCCATCCGTAAATATATGTGCAGTAATTTTATATTTACTTCTTATATTTATATCATCATATACATTTCTAATATTAATTTTTGTTTGTTTATTATACTTTAAAACTTTGGATATAAACGTGGGGAGGAAGTCAAAAAAGCATCATAAAGAAATCCTGCAGATTTCGAAACCGAAGAGTGAGAAAGAGTTGAAATGGAGAGAACTTAAAATTTTGAAACTCTCATCTGGACACTTTAAAAAAAAGTACTTGGGAAAAAAAATACTATTCACAAAATTAAAAATAGGCGCAGCCCAAAACTGAGCCGCTACTATTCCTAAGCTGATACTGTTCATAGAACAGTATTTTAAGTGAGGAGCTATTATGGGGGTGCAAGTGAGCCGGCTTGTAGTTGATTTTGATTTGATATTATAGATTGATTCATAGTTTTTTTCACATATCAAAATTTAGTTTACTCCTTGTTGCTGGCATCCGAAGTTCGAACTTTCACTCGAGTGGGATAATTCAGTTCACATTTGCTGAAAGAAGATGAAGCTCACTCTAACACATCAAAGAGATATATATTAACCCATATGCTTTAAATATAATACTGCAAATTCATGTCCAAATAGTATACGAAAACATTAACGTGACATCACTAACCATCAAATGATTACCAATTGCTTAAATAGGAGTCAGTTCGAGTACAAAATTATCATTTTGTTTGATTGGATATTGTTATAGTTTCACAATGATTATAATATGATCATGAATTGCATAACAATTATAGTTTGAAATAAAAAAAGAATCAAACAGATGATATTTAAGATCAGAACGAAAATTGAGCCTATGGAATTAACTAATAAACTTTAAAAAAAAATAAATCAAAATGAAAATTGAAAGGAAAAAACAAAAGTAGGGGAGTTATCAGCTATGCTAATCTCCTCCTTTCCAAGCTGGGGTTAATAAAAAATTTACATGAGCCAACTTTACGTGGGAGACAATCAATTTGAAAATTCAAAGCGCACCTGACTTGGAAAGGGAAAAAAAACATAGGCAGGAAATTATAAGAAAACACTGAACAATACCACTTCCACGACGTTGGTATCTGTAAGTCCTAAAATGCATAAAAAATATAACTTCTGCAGAATGTTATTTGTTTACGGAGATGCATCAACAATAATTCCAACTGACTAAATTAAGTCGACGAAAAGAATATCATGCAAGGTTAATATTCTTCTCGACTTTCCATGATGCATGCAAGTCAATTATTAATTTAAAAAAATTCTCAACTTTTATGTATGCAGTGAAATTTTGAAGACATCAAGTTGTGACTAAGTAACTTAAGCAAGTTTCTCCGCCTCTAAGTATATATCACACACCAGCTACCTTAACTTATTCTTACATACAATTTCTGTAACACTATCAAATTGATGTCTCAGCTGCTGCTTAATTCACATAACATTTTCATAGAATTAAACATATCAATTCGAGGTTTCATATCTCGATCTGATATGCTCCACATATTAGTGTATTCCATCATTTTTCTGGTGGATCTAGATCTTCTATCTCTGATAGCTAACACGACGGCCAATTATGAAAAGTGTCAAAATCTCTAGAACTATAATGTGACTACTCAAACTTCCTACCGAGCCTACTACCCATACAATTGATTTGAACAGTCACCAACTACTAAATCCTAAGTCTACCTAAGAAAAGGCTGAACATTTTGCTGGTACTTCAGTATGGTCTCACATCTTCACACGGCTCAAGATGCACAGATGAAAGCAACATTGAGCTCTGGAATGATATCTTTAAGCTAAGTTTCTTATCATTGCTCCACAACACCTGGTAACTTGCCTGAAAACACGCATCCGTTCGCAGACTATGAACCATAATGATGACCATGCCTTCACACTGCCCAGTACAATGATAAAATCAGTAGGACTGGCACATAGACACGGGTTTACTAAACCATCAAGAGTCTTTTATGTTTGTTGGTAATTTACAGTGGTTAGTCCTTCTTTGTTCCTTACCCGCACAACCATACTTTGCATGTCTTTTTCAACAAAAGAATATAACAACTATTGCATACCAACTTTCATGACCATTAAATCTGGTATTAAATAAAATTAAGATAAATAAATCAGTTATTGCACGAAGTCTATATCCCACATTCTACACAATATATCTGCAGTTAATAAGATTAATGATGTAACATTAATAAATATAAGTTAGTAATGGTTTCCTTAATATAATCCCATGTATTCAGCTATGGTATATAATATTTAATAAAATAATCTTATCAGACCTTGAGTCGCCTAATTTTATTAAAACTATAGTGTTCATATTCTGCTGTGAGATATCACTTCAAAGCTCATAAAACATGATCCAAAAATCATGAAATACTCATACGGTAATGTAGTGGATGTGATCACTACCATGGTACTATGCAAATATAGATAATGACAAAACAACTTCAATATGAATAAATTAAACTTCTGTGATTACTGTGGACAGCACTAAATAATTTGTTAATAACTGTATTTAATTAAAAAGACCAAAAGAGTATATGGCTAATTATGCTTCAATTACATCTATATATAACATAAGCTAAACATTCAGAAAGTCAGTCGGTTACTATTATCTATAATTCAATAAACATAATATCTTCAAATATAGAGTAATTTGGTAAATGCGTGTGGGCAACAAAATGCGCTTCAAACCCTATGACAGACACTCATGTTTCACATCTAACTTTTTATGGCTATAATAAGACACACGTGCTTCTAAAACATAACTTATTCCGCAACTACAATCATAACTTATCCTGCAACCACAATCAGCTTTTTCTACCTTTTACTGCAACTTAAACAAATATAAAGAACACAAGCAACCTACCTTAGATAATAACTTAGATAAGTTTATTGAAAAACTAAGCAAGACATTGAAACAATGACAATCATGTCATTGAGAAAATGTAGAATGCAGAGAGAATATCATGCACTGGGACGCAAAGTATAATATATATAAAATGTGGTTATCACATTTGATAGCAAAAATTGCTTGACCAAAATAAATTGGAATGAGAGAATTCTTTACACATTTCTATTGATCAAAACCTGTCTCACAAACACATTAAAAAAAGTATACATATGAAACCCCTGAAAATTCGATTAGGGAAAAAAAACAGAAGGAAAATGCTAACCACATTTTATTGAATTTACGGACTAATATCTAAACCTACTAATGCCTCCACATCATTTGAAACATAACGATCACAATTCTAAATTTAT